GGGGAGAAATCGAGGTATTTTCGAGGCCTCGGTTGTCTTCCTCAAGGTATTCAACCTTGTCAAGGTCTCCACAAGGGGACGAGGGCATCCGACATTTTGGGGAAGGGGGGTCGACCTCCACCTGTGATATCCTGCCAACATGTATATTAAGGCGGTGAATTTTCGATTAATTTTCGAAATATGAACACTGCCGTTTCGTGTTCAGAATACAGCTAGTGATCGCGGGCCATGTTCGTTGGTGGTTAGTGTGCTGCGGGTGGGACCCGACGTTGTTGGCGAATCCGACCATCCCATCCTTCGATCTTTCCGCATTCCAAGTGATAACGCTCGACCCGATTTTGACGATTCTTTGTAGGAATTGGCAAAACCAATCGCTCAACCCACCCGCACGGGTGAGTTTCTTTGTTGGGCACATCGAACACGTGGATGCGATGCGTGCGTGCATGGTCGTGTTGGGAGGAAGACGCTATTGCTGTCCGGAGGACAAGTGCCAGACGCCAGACGCGGGCGATCTCCATCAGGCGAGACTGTGTAAACAAAATCGTTGCGACCAATCAGAAAAGCGCACGAGGGCAGCATGATCTGGCTGCAACGACCAGCCTACAGAGGGGGTAGAACCCCATCGCATGCATACATCGTGAGACCGTGCGAGCTCATCGACCCATTTGCCATGCAAACATGAAAACGACCACAAGGAACACGAGGCGCGACATCAAGAACTCTCCTTGCGAGCTTGGAGGCTCAAAAGTACCATTTGCCATGAGTCGGATGTTTCGAGCGAGTGGGCGACACCAAAAATTGGTTGCTACTCGATGCAGGTCAGAGCTGTCACTTTTTGTTTGACTGGTCCTTGTGTATCCGTACTTCGTTTACTTGAGGTTCGCGCGCAACGTCCCATTGTTGTCTACCATTTCGCCTTTCTAGCTAAGTCAATAAGACGCATGCACGTGGAGATGTATCGCTCATCTCGACCGTCAGAATAATAACCTACAGCAGTCCGACCGGTGGTGTCGAAGCCACATCGGTCTACATACAGCAGTATGCTGCGTGCGTACCACCCGGTCTCCAACTTGTTGTTGTTTTCATTTCGCTCGGGCAACGGCCACAATCAGCAGAGCAACGGCGCGACGGACGGCGCTTCCCAAAGCTGCCCCAACACCAACTGAACCAAACTCTATGCGAAACACGGTCAGTCCACCACCGACGCAACCTCAACAGCGCTTCCACTCGCTCGTTTCTCATGCCTTCGCTGCTCCACAAAAAAAAAGAAAAATTCGTTGTGTCTTACAGAAAAAAAATTGACTTCTACACCAAATCCAAACAATATCCACCCCCTGTTGCTCGATTTATTCACAGAGGCGTTTGTCAAGACGAGCATGATTTTCGATTTTCTGCCCCTGAGAAGCCGCGGTGCCACCGGGCCCGTGAAAGGCCCTGCAAGACGCAAACACAAGCGCCCTGCTGGCTTTGTGCGTCATCATCTGCTGATCCAATCCAACCCAAGAGGGGAAGCTGTCGCGGTTGTCGTCTCGCTCCCCAGCAGTCGAGCGACCCACTGCTTCTCTACACCGTGTAAGATAGGCAATTGCCCCGCCACCTCGGCACGCTCGTTGACTCATGGCCGCGCCTCAGCCGGGAGCGAGGCACGGCGCACAGCAGTGGGGGCTTGTGTGCTTGGCTCTCCCTCCAAGAGCAATATTTGGGGACTTGCAACGACCAGCAGCGTGTAGTTTAACACGGGAGACGGAACTACAGTAGTAGGGGCGATCGCGAGAGAGACCTGTCTTTTCCTCCATAGATGGATATTTTTTGTGCCTGTGACTGAGGCGAACTCGCCACCACTTTGAAGCTCATTGCACCATGACTGCGCCTCCGCGGGGCGCGAGACACGCTGCCTGCCGATGACTTGCGAGCCTTTTCATCCCTCTACACATGAACTGGGAGCTGGCACGACCCACAGAGCGACAACAGAAAAACTGGGGAAAACTACAGCTGAACACAGCCAGCCGTCACTACGTGGTACAGCAGTAGTCCACGGTACTGCTGCTGTGGAACACAGCAGCAGTTTGTACATGATATGGATACAAGTCTGAACACCTGTATTGTAGAAGTAGTTCATTTTCCATCTGCTCGCCGTTTCAAACTATGATGTAAGTCGCTCGAGCTGTGTATCATCGATTCCGTTGTGAGTAGCCATGTTGCCTCCCGTATATTGTCGGTCACGGGTTCGACATATTGTGCCTCACACGTGCACTCGGGTGCACCATGTACTATGGGCAGAAAGCCTTCCCGCAAAACACACAAGCGTACATTGTGCCCTGTGCAAGTCTCCCGATACAACGTACCGTTCTCAGATCGGCAGCAGTAACAGCAGTACCGCAGTGGGGTGACTGCTGGTCGATGATACGTACCCTTCCCTTCTCGGAGTAGGACACAAAGGACACACACACTCGTACTTACTGCTGTCCCGCCGCAAGCATACCGACATGATGAGATCTTATTCGCCCGGGATAGTCGCTGGGCTATCAAGAGGGCGAGACCAACTCAGTCTGTCAGAGATGAGAGATACTCTTTCTTGCCTTTGGGCATTCTTTGGTGTGCAGCAGCCGTCGATTGCTGGCCAGAGGTCCTGAGGGGGGCCGCGGTTTTTTCGCACAACAAACTTTGTACAGCAGTAGGCTCGTGTTGGTAACAATGACCTCTTGCTTTTGTTGGGGGGGGTACTGCAGCAGAGAGGTTGTATATGACAGGAGACTCTTCACGTCTCAACTGCTATGTAGTGTATTGGTTGGGCGAACTTCACACTTCTACAGCAGTAGTCTAGTAGAGGATCCAGCCACGCGTAGATCTGCTGTAGTTATACACATGCCACCGACGGCAATCGTAGGACATGCCGCTGTTTCTGCTGCTGCAGTTGTGCAAGGTAGAAATGGGTGGACCCCCATAAACGCTTGCTGATTCTCTCAGTCTCCCCCGCCCCTTCCACCGTCGCTGTCTTGCAGTTTCTCACGGACAATGTTTCGGAAAACTTTACAGCGTTACAGGCACTATACGTACATGCTGTAGTGAAGCTGGTTCTACATCAACAGATGTGCCGAATGCGTCTCGCGCACATGACTCGGCTTCTGCGAAAGTCATCCCGATCCTTCGTGAGGCCGGCAAGAACGTGAGGGTAAGAGCGGGACTGATCGTCGCTGGCACGTATCGCCAGTGGTTGCTATTGTGTGCATGCCCCATTGTACCAGGAGAGAGGGAGATCCATCTTGAAGAAGCAGATCTTTGTGAAAAGTTTACGGTTACCTTTTTTGTTTTTTCCCGCGCGTTTTTGCAGGGCCAGCCACATGGCGCTCTCTGATTGGTTGCTGTATCTCAAACCCGCCGCTTCGAGGCCCTGTCTCTCGGGACCAGGGTTTGACTCATCGCGCTCAGTGAGACTTGGTGTAGCTTGCAGCATCGGCGACAGGCGTATCGGGGACTGGCACAGCGAGCGGTGTGTTCACGGGTCTTTGCTCTTGCAGGATCTTGTATTTTGGCGGCAGCAAGAGGTAGTCTAGAGAGCAGATAGCGCCTGTGCGTATCCTGAAGAGGTTCACGGGTGGCTGAGAGGAAGTCTAGAGACTCAGGAGAGAAGGCACGGGACTGCTGACGAGTACACCGGACGATTCCAAGCAACCGAGGAGGTGAGAGCAAGTTGTACCTCGATCCAACTGCAAACTATTGCTGCTGCTGCAGCCTCTCCCTGCATACTCCGTATGTAGGAAACACACATGCAGAGAGATTGAGAGAGGAAGACTTGCACCCATGGTGAGATTGAGGGTGCCTCGGTGTTGCATGTGCTGTGTGGAAGGAGGATCCACCCATCCAAACTGAGGATACCCCCATCCGAAGTGCCTAGGTAGTACAATCCTTGCGGTGCAACTGACTTGGGGTGTATGCCACGCCTATGTTGCCTTTCGTACGGATTGTAGCGCTTTTCGCATGGATTGCAGATACGTTTCTTTTGTCTTTGCTTGTTTAGACTCATGCATCGTTCACAGCAGTACTCATGCACCGTGCACAGCAGTACTATCTCAGTCCACACTGCTGTTGTGCGCCGCACAAAGGTTTGTGGAGCGCACACATAGTGTTATGGCCCGTTATGTAATCCATCCATTGCCCAAGTATTTTTGTACCTGCTAATTATACTACTGCTGTACTACACTTGCAGCTGCTGGTGTTACTTTTGTACGTCTACAATATGCATCGGATCAGAGAAATTTTAGTCGTTGGAGACAAGAGTACATCTTACAGCAGTATGTCTGTCTCTGTTGGTAACAGAAAGATATTTCTACTGTACATCGGATCAGACGAATTTTACCCGTTCGAGATAGAAATTTATCTTACAGCAGTATATCTGTCTCCGCTGTTCGTTTTGGAGAGAGTGGGATTTCAGCGGCAATATCCAGGAGCCCTGCGTTGTTATGCCATGGTGCATGATGTTTGCCAACCCGAATGTATGGTTGTATGTGTGGCTAGAAACCAGTCAGCACCCGCCCTACGATGTTGGCACTGCCTGTCCCCGTTCGGCCTGTGGACATATTAAATGCCCATCTAATTCTGGGTGTCATGCATCGACGCGCATGCTTGTGTGACTGCACCAGCCCCGAAACCAAGTTCCAACCGCTCGTCGATTTGTCGCTCGTTTCGCCTTTGAGCAGATTACTGTTGAAGCGATGCCGGGCCGTGGCCATGGCGGTGGTGGAAGGGGGCGTGGGAAGGGCGGCGGAAGGGATGGCGCGGGGGGTGGAGGCAGAGGCAGGGGAAACGCTTCCCGCAGGGAGGGAGGACGGCGCAGGGGACACGCTTCCCGCGGGGACCGAGGATGGGGCAGGGACGAAGACCTGGACAAGTACCGCCCGCCCCCCGACGATGGCCACGGTGCCCCGGCGTTCACCATCCACCCGACCGGTGCCGGCCGTGCGGCCCGCGGCGGCGGCGGCGGCGGCGCAAGGGCTAGCGCTGAGGGTGGAGGGAGAGGCTGGGGAAACGGTACCCACGATCAGCGAGGATGGGGCAGCGAGGAACGCGATGGCTACTACCGCCCGGCCCGCAATGATGGCCACGGCGTCGGTGCGGCACGCGGTGGCGGCGGTGGCGGTGGCGGTGGCGGTGGCGGTGGCGGTGCCGGCGGCGGCGCAAGGGCGGGCGCGAAGGGTGGAGGGGGAGGCGGGGGAAACGCTACCCGCGATTGGCCTGGACGGGACAGGGGCCAAACCTTTAGGCACTATGGCCCACAACCCGGTGATGGCCAAGATGGCGTCGCTGCGGCGCGCGGTGGTGGCGGTGGCGGCGGCGGTTATGGTGACGGCAGTCACTCTCGCCGGGGTCAAGGTCGCGCCGGGGGCGGCGGCGGCCGCGGCGGCGGCGAGGGTGGTGGTGGCAGTCACTTTCGCTCGGGTCAAGGTCGCGGCGGTGGTGGTGGCGGCGGAGGCCATGTCCGTGGAGGAGGGACGGCAAACAGGGGAGGACGGGGCATGAGAACGGTTGCGACGGGGCCCATGGGGCGGGCGGGGCGGATGGGTCGCCCAGGAAGGGGCTTCGGGGCGGAGGGTGCGGCGGCGACACCCAACACCACGGGAACCCCTGGGGTGGGGCCGCGTGCGTTGGCGAGGATCGTGGGCGACGGCCCATGGTCCGAAACCTCTTTGGTGGGTGTTTATTTGGCGGAGGTTGCGGTTTGGGGCTATGCATGCGTGGTGCGCGGCGTGTCCGAGCTTGCTCTTGTGCCTGGTGCCGTGTTTTCGTGGAGTCACGGGTAGGGTAGTTTTGCTTTGGCGAGGCGGAGGAACGTCCATCCCGAAAAGACAAGGAAATTGAGAAGGGGTTTGCGGGGTGGTTTGCAATATTGCTAGTTTCACTCTCGCGCTCTGTCCGAGGGAAATACTGCTGCTGTCGTGGGTATGCTTTACCTCATGGACTCGGCGACGCAAGAACGACGCGATGTCATCCTTATCCTTTCATCCTTTTCCACCCTGTAAGTCATTACTGAACGTCCTCCCTCTCCTGCTGCATCGTGCCGTTTTTGGGGGACCCCGTTCGGCATACATGTACGTCGCGCCCATGTCTCGGCAGTCCGAGGCTAGGGACACCCGAATGCAGGCCGCTCGGGAGGAGGTACGCCTGCCTAATAGCAGTCAGCGGTAGGCCCCTGCCATCGCAAGATATATGCACCGATAGTGCAGTCACAATAGCTAAATAAACAAGATCATAGATGGGTGGGTTTTGTGTTTCGTTTGCGTTTGTTCAGTTTTGGGGACGCAGTATCCAGAATGTTTGGACTAGATGCCCATCCGTGAGCTCGATGGCAAGTGTCAGACGCAATCGAACGCCAATGGTGGAAAAGGAGCCTGTGTTCCGCTGCTTGTTTATCGAGTATCATACAACCTGGCAAACAAACGCCGTACCTCTGGTTCTTTGTACTCTCACGTGCATTGCCCGCCTTTCAGAGGAAGAGGGCAGCGGCAGCCGCGGCGGCGGTGGCGGCGGCGCTCGAGGGGGCGGTGGCTGGCGTGGTGGAGGCAAGGGACGCAGCAACGCGGGAGCAGGCGACGCGGGAGGTAAGAGACCCTTTTTTTCGCCACTGTCGACGATCAGGAGTAACAAGGGGGCGGGGGTGTTGTTGTTGTTGTTGTTGCTTCAGTTGTTGGTTTTGAGGGGGACGGCGTGGATGGACCCGACGGGCTGTTGAGCGGTGGACACTGTCTCCTAAGGCCGACGGGTTGACTAATGCACGATTGATCACCCCAAGGTTCAGTGGTAGATGTCTCGCGACATTGGTGGACAGCTCGCACTGTTCTGACCCAGTGCGTGTGCGAGCACACCCGTTCAGAGTGTGCTGCCCAGGGTATCACCCCACTTGTACCGCCCCGTCCCATGGCAAAAACTGCGACCTCACCTGCACACTACCGCCACACTACACCTGACGATGTTCGCTGTACGTGTCGCCGATCCTCTTTCTTTCTGCGAAAACTTCCCGGGTTTTGAATGGACCGCGCACTGCTGTCAGGCTCGCGCGGCGGTACGCCTGCAGGCGGTGATGAGGGGCCGGGCAGGGAGAGAGTTCGTGCGCGGAGAGCGCAGCCGACTGACGTCGATGGCTGTCCTGGTGCAGGCGGCGTACCGTGGACGGGCTGCCCGCGGACAGGTGGCTGCGCGGCGGGCGGCGAGGGAGGCGAGGGAGAGGGCAGCGGCAGCCGCGGCGGCGGTGGCGGCAGCGCTCGAGGGGGCGGTGGCTGGCGTGGTGGAGGCAAGGGACGCAGCAACGCGGGAGCAGGCGGCGCGGGAGGTAAGGGGCCCTTTTTTTCGCCACTGTCGACGATCAGGAGTAACAAGGGGGCGGGGGTGCTGTTGTTGTTGTTGTTGTTGTTGCTGCAGTTGTTGGTTTTGAGGGGGACGGCGTGGATGGACCCGACGGGCTGTTGAGCGGTGGACACTGGTGTCTCCTAAGGCCGACAGGTTGACTAGTGCACGATTGATCACCCCAAGGTTCAGTGGTAGATGTCTCGCGACATTGGTGGACAGCTCGCACTGTTCTGACCCAGTGCGTGTGCGAGCACACCCGTTCAGAGTGTGCTGCCCAGGGCATCACCCCACTTGTACCGCCCCGTCCCATGCAAGAAGAAGAGGCCAGCCGACAACGAGCGCTCAAACGAAACCACAAGCCAACAACCAATGGGGCGGGAAGGGGGCAGGAGACGGACGAGACGACGAGGGAAGAAAGCAAACGAGAAGAGACGGACCGAGTGGCACGATACGTGCCGGATTGAATTTATTTTAGCCAATTCCCCCAACGCTGCACCATTGCACCAACCCCCCAGTAGTGATGACGTACCATTACAATGTATCGCTGGTTGGTGGCCATGTTTGCGTGTTTGCTTATTCGTTAGTGGTCTCTCCACCGTGTGCCTGTTTCTGCCTCTTATTGCTTGTTATTTTCGGCCTGGCCCCTTTTTTGGTCCCTTATTGTCCTCGCTCTTTTTCATTTTATTTTCATTTTATTTTCTCTTTTTCTTACTGTTTCCATTTTTTATTTTTTCTCTTTTTTCTCTTTTTCTCTTTTTTTTTCTCTCTTTTTCTATGCCAGATGGCCTTGTCTCTGCTTGCGTTGTGACGTACCAAGATTGAACCAAGGGGGTGTACCTCTTTCTTTCCCGCCCATGATAGTGTTTCCTAGTCTCAGTTGATACCTCGCATAGCTCGCAGAGGGAGTGGAGGATTCCAGGATATCTGTCGTTGATTTCTATTGACTTGCGGACCCCTCGGGGCCAGTTTATTTGAGTGTACCTTTTTAGGGTAAGTTAACCTGTGACCACGGGAATCGACCGCGTCGAGTATTGAATCAGTACGGACATACGAAGGTACTGGGTAGAGAGAAATCGGAACGGTTTTTAATGTGAAGACAACAACAACAACAACAACAAAGGCAACAACTGTGACCTCACCTGGACACTACCGCCACACTACACCTGACGATGTTCGCTGTACGTGTCGCCGATCCTCTTTCTTTCTGCGAAAACTTCCCGGGTTTTGAATGGACCGCGCACTGCTGTCAGGCTCGCGCGGCGGTACGCCTGCAGGCGGTGATGAGGGGCCGGGCCGGGAGAGGGTTCGCCCGCGGAGAGCGCAGGCGACTGGCGTCGATGGCTGTCCTGGTGCAGGCGGCGTACCGGGGACGAGCTGCCCGCCGACACGTGGCTGCCCTGCGGGCGGAGGCAGCGGCAGCCGCGGCGGCAGCGCTGGAGGGAGCGGTGGAGGAACAGATGGCTCGCATCGAGGCAGAGGAAGCCAGGGCAGCGGCGGCAGCGGCTACGGCGCTGGCACGGAGGAAGGGGTGGTGGTGGTGGCAGGTGGTCATGCTGCTGATGACTGTGGTCGTGGCAGTTGGCACTTGGCCAGTCCTGCTGCTGCAAGGGTGAGAAGAGCAAGGAGGGAGTGAGGAAAGCAGTTGGGATATGCCGTGCTTGGAGGCAGGCAGGCCATTAGGAAGAAGCGTGTACCTCAAAAGTAGACAGCGTTGAATGTTTTTTTAAGAGCACGCGATCGACCACAAGTCAACCTCACACCAGTGTTACACTCATTCTCCGATTTGTCTCGTCTGGAACACAGTAAACAGCCGGCATCGCCTTTTTCTCAGCCTCGTCTCGTCTTCGTTCCTTCTTTTCCTCCGTCATGTACCGTCCCCCCTAAGCCCACACCCCTCCCCCAACCCTTCATCACTACGTTGAACGTTTGGTCTTCTCCATGGCCCCGCATAGGCCGCTGAGCGTGCCGTGCGGGCGCACCTCGCTGGCGTCCGGCGAAGGGCCGATGGCGGTCGGCGAGTGCGTCGAGTCCGAGGGGGGCTCGCGGTACCTGGGCTGGGTGCCGGGTGTCAGCTGGAAGGCACGGCTGACCGTCACCGACGACGGAGCCGTGTACTCGGGCACGGACGGGAAGGAGGTAAGTCCAGCCGCAGAGGCGGTAGTGGCGATGGTACTGTACAATCGACTAAAACACAACTTCTCCCCCTGTAGCGAATACCGGTGCATGGGGGCGACGCCGGTGCGGCTGCTCCTCTTTTTCGAGGTGTTTTTGTGGAGACGCTTTTCGCTTCTTTGGGAACACGCACACGCAGAAGATTCGGTGTTCTCTAACGCGAGAACCTCGCTACTGGTGCTGCTATACACCGGACCCCTCCCCGCCGTAACAAAACCCACTTGCGTCAGGGGCTTACAAGATTGTTTTGTGTTCATGCTCAGGACCTCCCTGACCTCACTTCCCGATCACCCTTTCTTTTTTTCCCCTCTCGGTTGGACTGGACAACACAACACCATCAGGTGCCCTTTTCCGCCGTCCTCGGCAAGGGGATGAGCAGCAACGGCGGCGACGGCGGCGGCGACGGCAACGGGCAGGACGGGGCGGGGGGCATGCTCTGTTCCGCGGAACGGCTGGTCCGCAGGGCCGTGCCGTTCATCGGCGACTTCGAGCACCGCGCACGCATGCGCGGGGAGAAGCTCGTGGTGGGGCGCGGCTTTTTCTGCCGCACCCACGAGACCCCCCGCCGCCCGCCGAGGAGCGTCATCGACGCTCTATTTCGGGGCCGCGGCGGCGGGGTGGCCAGCTTTTCGGAGCACACCGGCGACCTGCACGTGGTCAACTCCCGTGGCAAGGTGGTGTGGTAAGTGGACTACAACAAGCCGGTTGTGCACCAGCCAGTCAGTGTGTGGAGGTTGACCTGGCGTCCTCTCTTTGCTTGTTTCGGAATACAGAGTGGTCGTGTTGTATTGGGTACGAATCAATCGACTTGCTTTCAGTCGTTTGTTCCTATTTCACTGCGAAAGAAGTTTGTCCCTTTTGTTTGCATGGTCTCAGATGTCGTCCGGTTTAAGCGCAACCATGACGACGCTGGACTCAGCCCCATCCACAAGTGGCTAGCCATGGTTGTGTATGCCCGCGGCGGAACGTTATTTCATCGAATGTTTTAGCTACAAAGTACATATCTCGGCGTACGGAAGTACGAATGACAACAATATGGTCGTAAATTCACTCGTCACTGTTCTAGTCTATGATACTTCGAAGCATATATTGCATGAATGCAGCGTCCATTGCACGAATGAATATTTATATTCATGTGAATTTCCTGTGGTGCCTATTTCCTTTTGGTGCCTTGTCGAACAAAAGGTCCGCCGGTGACGACGTCAGCATCATCAGTGACAGCGCTGGCAGCACTGGCAGCACTGGCAGCACTGGCAGCAACCGCGGCGAGGGCAAGGACCGCGGTGGGGGCAAAGAGCGATGGTGGAGGCGGGGGTGGGGCAAGAAGGACGGGGGGGGGAAGACGGGTAGTTGGGGATGATGCCCATGGGGCCGACCATGAACGTGCTCATTTTCGTTTGGCCGGAGGTTCCCTCTGGGCCGAATGAAGCGCTCTCTCTCTCTCTTTCTGTGCTACCTCGAGCTCGTGAGTGAGTGCGTTCGCGGTAATTTGATTTCACGAATTTGAAGACACGTAGATTATGTAAGCATGTACTTATTTTCGAGAGAAACGCATCCACCTAGTATGCTGTTACTCATTGGGTATGCTTCAGTCTTAAATTCCAAGTCGTTTTCTTGATTATTCTCTTGTTGGTTTGATTGTGATGGATAAACCTTTCTCCTGTGGGTGGGATAGAAGGACACTTGAAGCCCGGTGCGGAGGAGACGGGTTGGGTTTGAGGTTAATTTTCTTTGCCGTTGCCTGCCATTTAGGAGATGGATTGTCTGCTCCAGTATGCGATAGACGGAGAGAGACCCACACACACACGTTTGTTTTTTTGTTGCTTTGGTTTGACTGTCGCTGCTGCTTACCTAGGATATGGATCGCTTCCCAAAGCATGCCGTAGATGGAGACATACACGCACACGTTTTGTTTCTTGCACTGGGGGTTGGAGAAAGGCGGTGCTTGGGGACAGTTTTTTTCTGGAACTAAAGACCACTTTTTAGGTCTGGAGTTTTGGTTTGGTTTGACTGTCGCTGCTGCCTACCTAGGATATGGATCGCTTCCTAAAGCATGCCGTAGATGGAGACATACACGCACACGTTTTGTTTCTTGCACTGGGGGTTGGAGAAAGGCGGTGCTTGGGGACAGTTTTTTTCTGGAACTAAAGACCACTTTTTAGGTCTGGAGTTTTGGTTTGGTTTGATTGTCGTTGCTACCGACCAAGGGTATGGATTGCCTACTAAAGCATGCCGTAGATGGAGACATACACGCACACGTTTTGTTTCTTGCACTGGGGGTTGGAGAAAGGCGGTGCTTGGGGACAGTTTTTTTCCGGAACTAAAGACCACTTTTTAGGTCTGGAGTTTTGGTTTGTATTGACTGTCGCTGCTGCCTACCTAGGATATGGATCGCTTCCTAAAGCATGCCGTAGATGGAGACATACACGCACACGTTTTGTTTCTTGCACTGGGGGTTGGAGAAAGGCGGTGCTTGGGGACAGTTTTTTTCTGGAACTAAAGACCACTTTTTAGGTCTGGAGTTTTGGTTTGTTTTGACTGTCGGTGCTGCCTACCTAGGATATGGATTGCCTACTAAAGCATGCCGTAGATGGAGACACACACACACACACGTTTTTTTTCTCTTTTTGTACTGTTGGCCACTCAAGGGCAAGGGCTATTTGCTGAGACAGTCAATAGGTGGACACACACACTACGCATGTTTTTTTTTCTCTTTTTGTTTTTCTGTTACCGGCCGATGGCATGGGTTCGGCTGAGACAGTCTAAGTGTGGACACATGTACACACACACACACACACGCGGTTTATTTTGTTGCAGTTGGGGGTGGGGAAAGGCGGTGCCTGGGGACGTTTTCTTTCTGGAACTGAAGACCCCTTTAGGTCTCATCTTGTTCGTTGCTTAGTGATGCTCTGTCTCTTAGAAAGAAGAGCAAGGGGGGCTACTACTGTCGGGAACGCTTGCAGTCTTTTGTTTTTCGCTGCTTGTCTTTTATTTCACATGACTGTTTAATTTTGTGTCCGTTTTTTTTTTGTTCGTTGTCTCACCCGAAGGGAGGGGAATGATCGCGATCAACTGCTGTGATCATGTTGTGTTGTCTGCGGATACAACGGGGGCCGGGTCGGGAGTGTTGTTCAGTCGGGGAGACTATTCTTATTGCGAGCTGACTTGGTCAGGAGTGGAGCGCCCTTTTAGCCGCTTCGTGCCATGTCGACCGTTTTTTTTGTGGAGAGGAAGGTTTTATTTTTCCGTTTTGTTTTTCCGCGCTTTGTGTTCAAGTACGTACCTCTCAGCATGTGTTGTAGGATATGCTGCTGCTGCTAGCGGACTTCATCTGCAGCCCTTGCTGCATAGCACTGCGTTCGCACTTTCGTTCCGTCTTTTATTTTTTCGCTTCGCTTGGCATAGTTTGCACATGTCGTCGAACGACAATGCCATCGGATGTATTTCCGATGTGTCTGCCTTCAGGTAGGGCTGTAGTTATTGCGAGTTTACGGGGACGGTCTTGGGGCGCTCTTGTGGCCGCTTTATCGAGTGATATTCGGGTGGGGACACCGCTTTTTTTTTGTCGATTCTTTGGAAGTACCTCTGCATGTCTGTGTCTGATCTGCTGCGGCTATCGGGATTGATCCCGGTAAAACAGTGGAGGAAAAAACTTGACTGCTGTTGGTGCTTGCAAGAAGCCGATGGGAATGCTTGAGTTCATTTGTAGCCCTTGCTGCATAGCGTTGCGTTCGCGCTTTTGTTCCGTACTTTTTTTTGTACTTCGCTTTGCACAGTTTGCATGTGTCGTCGAACGACAATGCCATCGGTTGTATTACGGATGTGTCTGTCTTCAGCTAGGGGGACCGACGGCTGTACTTATAGCGAGTTTACGGGGACGGTGTTGGAGCGCTCTTGTGGCCGCTGTATCAACTGATATCCGGGTGGGGATACCCTTTTTTTAGTCGCTTCTTTGGAAGTACCTCTGCATGTCTGTGTCTGACCTGCTGCGGCTACCGGGATTGATCCCGGTGAAGCAGTGGAGGAAAAAACTTGACTGCTGTTGGTGCTTGCAAGAAGCCGATGGGAATGAATGCTTGATTGCCAAGGCATTTTGTTCTATCCCCCCACCCACCCCCCGGTATTGTTGGACGATGCAAAGACGGGATGGTGACGAGCACAACTAGTTGCAGCTACAACTAGCACTTGTCCAGTCATTCTTGCTCGTCGAACACAGGTTTAGACGACCCCGGCATACCCTCTGACTCTGTACTACGTTCCCGGCAATCAGTGTACGGATGTTCATGTTTCATACGATTGCGGCGAGATGGTTTATTTCGGAGAGTAGGCGCCCCCCGCTCTCCCTCCCCCCTTGTGCTATGCCAAGCGTTGTTTTGTTTTGGTGTTTTGTTTTGTTGGATAGAAGATGTGGTCGTCATGGCCGCTCTTGGCAACTAGTGGGACCCGTTCCTGGTGGTGGTGTTTTTTTTTTTTGCGGTTACCACGAAAGTCCCGTGTGTGTGTGTGTCGCACTACTGTAGTAGTCCCGGTGCTACGACAGCAGTTAGTTCAGTGTGGCAAGTGATGTGGAGAGCTGATTCTGCTACTTGCATGCGAAGGACTGCTTTTTGAGGTGGTGGTGTTGCGCTTGTCTGTGGCGACATAGATAGATGGGTCGGTCCAACGAGCACTCCTTCAAGTGCCAGTGGTGTGAGTCGACAGAGGTTTTTGTTTTACGCAACTAGGAGGGCGAGTCCATCATTTACAGGACGTAGGAAACATGTGTGTGTGTGTGTGTGTTTTATTTTTTATTAGCAGCATCGACCGCGCTACCGACTGACCGTTGAACGACTCAAGTCTTCGTGCGGTTAACTCCGGGAAGTGTTTCTTAATGCCTGATCTGGGGCCTCGTGATGGGGGGTCACGGGGGGGGCCGTACTCATTTGTTGCTTGCCGTAGTCATTTGACCATTGACCACGCGTCCCTTTCGAGACGGAGCATCACGGGGGGGGGCTAGACAATTCTCCGGTGTGTGTGTGTGTGTGTCGTTGGTATTAGCATCGACCAGGCTACCTGACTGACCATTGATAGACGCCAGTCTCAGTGCGGCTAAATCCGGGAAATGCTTCTAAATGCCATGATCTGGGGCCTCGTGAGGGGGGGTCACGGGGGGAGGCTAGGTTATTGTCCGGAGTGTGTGTGCGTGTGTGTGTCTCTCTCTTGTTTGGCATCGACCGCGGTGTGTGTGGGTGGATATCTCTCTTTGCTTTGACGTTTCCGGCAGCTCAGGTGTCAAATCTTTTTTTGGCTCATCGCGTGTGTGTTGTGTCCATTTCGACGACTAGACTTGATTCCTTCGATGGTTGGCTGTGTGCTACCTGTTTTCGGCAACACGCCCTACCCAACTGACCATTGATAGACGCCAGTTTCAGCGCGGTTAAATCCGGGAAATCTTCTAAATAGATGCCATGATCGGGGCCTCGTGATGCGGGGTCACGCGGGGAGGCTAGGTTATTGTCCGGAGTGTGTGTGCGTGTGTGTGTCTCTCTCTTGTTTGGCATCGACCGCGGTGTGTGTGGGTGGATGTGTGGATATCTATCTTTGCTTCAGCGTTTACGGCAGCTCAGGTGTAACATTTGTTTGGCACGCATGTGTGTGTTGTGTCCATTTCGACGACTAAAATAGACTTGATTACCTCGATGGTTGGCTATGCGCTACTTACTTTCTGAAACACCAATCCTTCTGTGTTTCCAGGCGGTTGTTGTACGTCGGTAGCGCACACGAGTGTTGGGCTATACCGGTGTCTTTGAAGGTGGAAGAACGACATCCAAAGGGCCTCGGTTTTCGTTTTGGATTGATTTTGCGCGACTCTGCTCTGTCTACTAGTAGTATCGAAAGGGGGCGATTGGTACATTTTCGCTAGGAAGAAACTACTGCGGTGTTTCGCCCGTGGTGCGTTATTCATAGAGCGTTCACCTACCGCGGGGGGGGGGCGATACGTTTGTTTTCGGGGATTTCGGTTTACGATGTGTATTGTATCCGACGGGAAGGGTTGGTCCGATTTATTTTCATTTTGTTTAACATTTGCGTCACGTGTCACATGGCAGAAAGACTAGCCATTCGAAGTACTATTCCCGAGGGAAGGAGATGTTGCTGTCCAGCGCAAAGAGGACAACGACGTGTCAGGGGAAACAAAAACAAACAAACCTCTCCAGGGGGAGAAAGGTCAGGGGAAACAAAAACAAAAAAACTCTCCAGGGGGGGATGGATAATTTTAATAAATTAAGGGCGTGAAGACAAGGGAAGGTGTGATGTTATTTCTGTTCCGCAAAGAAAGGGTGTAGGAGGTTGTTTCTTGTTGAGGAAAGAGGAAGAATATGGTCGTTTTTTTCTAGTCGTGAGAAAGGAGAAGAGGAGGATGACGTGTACTCCAGGAGACGAACGAAAAGATGGATCTGGTGTACCATGGATAAGAAACCTCCGCGCACAAATTCGTGTGGCCTTTCGAAAGAAACGTTGTTTTTGTAGCACCATGCGGAGGGATCGACTTACGATTATGGATGGTGGTTTCTTGTCGGCCGCCAATACTCGTCATTACTCGTTACAACCCCCAACGCAAAGAAAGTCCGCAAAGCAGACATGCCCGGGCTCAACTGGCAGCGGTGCCAAGAACGGCAGTAGCAACACCGAGGGCGTGTGTACATGCAGGGGGATGAACGACTCTCTCATCACCCGACCAAATCTTACCTCAACAAACAGCTCTTCCACAAGGTTCCGCAGAAATCGACGTACAAATTTTAGACACCACAGACTTCAGATAGATGAGATAGTGCCACCGCTCACATACAGTCGGAGCTTTGGAGCCAGGCCGTAAAGGAAAAAGGTTGCAGGTGTAAGTTTTGAAACATGAGAAATAGCCTAAAGAACTTGAACCCCCATCTCTCATACCTACGCCGTCCCCCGTGGGTTCTCCACGGCCGGAGAAAATAATCTTGTCTTGATACTTTGACAAAAAAAAGCAGGAAGAGCGACGATCCTCGAAAAATATTTTTGTGGGGAATAGGCGTCGCCATCTACTGCTGTACAGCAGTAGAATCTCTGCAGCGAGTTCAGTGCCTGCACGTGCGCGTCATACAGCGGTGACTACGGGGCGATCCGTGCACATGTGTATAGCCTACATGCTCACAATAGCAGATATCTTGTGTATTCCAGGATTTGGATATCATATCCTCCGTTGGGCGGGTAAATCGGCCACGTGCGCACGCCCAGGATTGTTGTTGTTGTCTTCACATTAAAAAGCGAGTATTTCAGATGGATCCAACCTAAGGGGGGAGGAGTCTGAAATTGGTGTTTATTGGAGTTGATGAGAAGTGAGCATTTATTATTATGTGCCAAAGAGGATGTCTGCGTGCGTATAGAAGAGGAGGCATGCGCACCGAGAGAAGGCAGCTGCTCGCAGGACATTCCGTTTGCGCCCGATCACGTTGAAGCATCATCAGTGCTGGAGCACAGGGACTGCTAAACGTACGAGTGGACAACACTGCCAGCTACTACCTGTTAAGACGTTCTGTTCCGAGGAGCTAGTGTTACGCGGCCATCCAAGCGCAGCACAACCGAGCCATCATCTTGACGTTCCTCGTCAAAGACATGGAAGTTTACACACGAGATGTGCAGATGTTCGCGGACGAGATGCAGCGGCGCTTCGTTCTCCCTCCGCCGTCGGACTCTCTCTCGCCCCCCCCCCTCCCGGCTTTCCCAAACATCGCGGCGTATCTCCGGTCGGGAGGGCTGATCAATTCTGCTGTGCAAGGCAAGCCCGGCAGTTCGTCGGCCGCCGCAGCGGGCGCCGGGGGACGCAGCGAGGCCAAGGAGCAGGGGGTGTGCTACAAGTTCCAGAACGACGGTAAATGTCGGTGGGGGCAGAAGTGCAAGTTCGCGCATGTGGCGCCACGGAAGGCCGGCGGAAAGGGAGGAAAAAGAGGGGGCGCGACTGGCGGCGGCGCCGAGGGTGGCGACTCGAAAGGTAGCCCCTCCACCGCCGCCGACACCAACGCCTCTGCCGCCGCCGCCCCAGCGAAGCGGGCCAAGGTGGGAACGGCCGGGACGAAGACTCGCAGCAGTGCGAAGGGCGGTGCCGGCGGCGG